ATGGAGTCAGACAGAGGCTAATTATGATGGAGAGGACAGTCAGTTTGGCCACAGAGACGGAAAGAGATAGTGATACAAATATTAATAAACAGAGATTGAAATAGACGCTGAGATAGAGATGAAAAGAGACAGAGAGGCAGTGACACGAACAGTAATGAAGATAGAAATCGCCATCAAGATGGAGATGAAATACAAATAAATAGAGATTGATAGTGGACAAATAGAGAGAAAGATAGTGACAGACAAATGCAGAGTTTCCAGAGACTGGAACAGAGATGACGAGTAATCAAATGGAGAAAGATGAAAAGTTAGAGTTAGAGATGCAGAGATAGAAATAGTGAAAGAAAAATGGTTAGAGATACACATTAAAGATATAGTGATATGGATGGAGACAGACAGAGAGATATTGTGTTGTGTATTTGTGTTCTCACAGCTGCTCAGCGTTACTGCTGCTGCCGTCTGACTTTTGAATGTCAGGTGTGGCGCCTTTATTACAGTGTTTCAGATCAATTAAACACACGAGCCCGAGGCTGTTTCCATGACAAGCACGAAGACGGAGACGACTTTAACGTGAGCCAGTCACGACTCTGACACACAGGAACCTATGCTTGTTATACCATGGGGAAAAGACCCTAAAATAAATTCTATATTGTAATTTCTGTTCTTTGAAAATGACCAGAAATGGAGGTCCCTGCTTGGTGGTGTACACTCACAGTCCCCTGATGGCTATATAGGAATGTAGGTGTGTGTGTGTGTTGGAGAGCGTGAACGAGCTATTGACCTCATAATAATAATAAATCAACTTATTCAAGAACAGGAAGTGACAATATCGAATCTTATGAACCAAAATATTACCCAGAATTCACATCAAGACGTTTCTACACTAAAAGCGTCCACTAAAAAAGGCCGCTGTTGGCATTGGCGCAGACTTTACTTTAAATTAAACACAGCTCAGACGGTAAAAATGGCGGCGGCGAGACGAAGCTGAAGGAATCCAGCCTCGTCCCGTCAGGCCTCGGTGGCATTGTGCAGACTGAAAATGAAGTAAAGACGGCTATTTCTGCGGGCGTTTGGGGACCGGGCCTGTCGGTCAGGCTGTCAGGGTGCAGAGTGAGAGGAATGGACCTGGAATGCTGACTCATTCAGGTCCCGGGCCCCTGGGAGCCCCGGGAGGCCCCGTTATCCCCTCCCAATGCTCGTCCGAGAGCAGATAATGATCCGTGGCCCTGACCCCTCCGCTCCCAAATCCCAGGTCACCCTGCGAGATTCCCGCTAGAGTGTGTGTGTGCGCGAGTGTATATGTGTGTGTGTGACACAGGAAGAATGTTAATGCAATCCAGAGATCAGCTGGCTCACCTCTCCCTCCTCCCCGCCTCTTTTTGTTCCTCTTGTCCTCTGCGATCCGGCAGCTCCGAGACAAGACACACCAGGTTGCAATTAACGGGATCTGAAAACTGTACAGAGGGAGAGCCGGGGAGGAGATGATGAGAGTGAGGCGATGCCCTCATGGAGCTTTTCCAAAATAAAAAACCTGAGAAAAAATGTTAACAAGAAACAAAACTCCATAAAGTCGGTTAAAGAGCTGGAAAGGCTTCGTTTATACGGTGGTAAAATAAAGACACGACATCTTCTGTGGTTTCGTGTTATCACAGCGGCTAATTAGTCCTGATGTTTTGGGTAAACTTCCCAGATCGGAGAGGAATCCACAAAAGGAAAAGAGGGCTTTAATGAGAAATCAAAAGGGCCATTAAAAGGAGGCACGATCAAACACACAAACCTCGTAAAAACAGACGAGTATGAAACATGCACGCAAGCAGAAATGCACCTTGACTGCAGAACCTGCAGCTCCATCTGCAGGTTCGTCTCGCATATTTGCCCTCGAGCGACAAAATCATATCAGTCTAATAAAAAAACCATCACGTCTTGGACCATGTACATGGTTAAGCTTGTAATGGTAGATAATTATGTCTTAGTGAACTCCCTGAACCAACGAAACAAAACAAGCTCTTCATGTGGCCAAAACTTTGATTTCATGCTAGACGAATCCAGTTTTATGGCATCAAAACAAGATGTTGTTTCAGTAGTATTTATACTTTATGAAGAGATAATGTGACTTATCAACTTGTTCTCACTCCGACCTATGACGTGAAAGATGTTCTGGGACACCGTGACAACTTCATAATGATTTATGTAAAAGCAAAAACCTCCAGACCATTCTTAATAATCCGTTTTCAGCATTTTTTGTGAAGGATTTCTGTATATGGTCATCTGCTCCAGGCACGCTGCTGCAAGTGCTACATGTAGCTACATGCTAACATCAGGGAAACATGTCATCTTGTTTGCTAGTGATGTCTAATTCGCCTGATTTCGGATTTTGGTTTAGAAGCTTTTATTGGTTGTTTTTAACAGGAGAAAGTGCTGCTATACACCATTATTCACTGGCCATAGGTCTGCTGCTACTTGTAGCTAAATGCTAACATCCGGAAAACATGCAGTCTTGGACGCTGATATAATTTCCCCCTGACTTCAGATCATATTCATGCTGGAACATGTCAGGTTTTGTTTGGAAGCTTTTATTGGTCATTGCTACAACGACTGTAGCAGTTGTTCTCTGCTACAGTCATTCCCTGGTTGCAGGTACACTGCTACATGTAGCTACATGCTAACACAAGGGAAACATATACTCTTGGTTGTCAATGTTGTTAATTTCTCGCCAATTTTGGATCATATTCCTGCTGGAACATGTCCGGTTCTGTTTAGAAGCTGTATCGGGGTATTTTTAGGGTAAAAGTGCCACTGCAAGGACACTGCTACATGTAGCTACATGCTAACATCAGAAAACATGTAATTTTGGTTGCAGATGTTGTTAATTTCTTCCTGATTTCAGATCATATTCCAACTGGAGCATGTCTGGTTGTGTTTAGAAGCTTTTATTGATGATTTTTAACAGGAGAAAGTGCTGTTTTACACAGTCCTTCTCCGACTGCAATTTCATTGGTGCATGTAGCTTCATGCTAATGCCAGGAAAACATGTAATCTTGGTTGCCCATGTTCAAAGTTTCTCGCAGATTTTGGATCATATTTCTGCAGGAACTGTACAGTTGTGAAGACTTTGGTTTAGAGGGTTTATAGGTGATTTATCACAGTAGAAAGTGCTGCTGTCCTCCTTTAGAGCCATTTTCTGACTGCAAGTACACTGCTAAGTGTAGCTACATGCTAACGTCAGGGAAATATGTAATCTTGATTGCCAATGATGTTGATTTTACCCTGATTCCGGATTATATTCTGCTGCAAACATCCAGTTGTGTTTAGAAGCGTTTATAGGTGATTTTTAAGAGGAGAAAGTACAGTTATACACATTCCCAACTACAGATACACTGCTACATGTAGCTACATGCTAACATGAAGACACGTCATCTTTGTTGTTGATGTCATTAATTTCTCCCCAATCTCAGATACAATTCTTGCTGAAACATGTCTGGTTGTAAAGATTTCAGTTTAGAGGCTTTTACTGATATTTTTACCGGTAGAAATTGCCGCTATACATGCAGGTACACTGCTACATGTAGCTGCATGCTAACACCAGGAAACGTAACCTTGGTTGCAGATGTTGTTAATTTCTTCCTGATTTCAGATCATATTCCAGCTGGAGCATGTCTGGTTGTGTTTTGAAGCTTTTATTGATAACTTTTAATAGGAAAAAGTGCTGCTATTCACAGTCATTCCCTGGCTGCAAATACACTGCTACATTTAGCTACATGCTAATGTCGGAGAAACATGTAATTTTTATTACCGATGTTGTAACTTTCTCCCAGATATCGGATCGTATTTCTGCAGATTCATTTTCTGGTTGTAAAGATTTTGGTTTAGAAGCTTTCATTGGTTGTTTTTAACAGGAGAAAGTGCTGCTACAGATACACTGCTACATGTAGCTACATGCTAACATCAGGGAAAGATGTTGTCTTGGTTGCTTATATTGTTAATTTTTCCTCGATTTCAGATCATATTCGTGCTGGAACTTGTCAGGTTGCAGCAGGGTAAAGATGGTGCAGAGCTGCTGAGATGAGGAATACCCAGAGATACTGACCAATCAGAGCAGACTGGGATTTTTCAGGAGGGGGGCTTCAAGGAGGAAGGAAGGGTCTAAAGAAAACATCCTATGAAGTTGCATTATGGGGAATGTAGGATCCAGGGTTAATAGAGCTCGAGCCAAACTAAAAGTCTGGATATCTCGGCCTCTTCTGCCCTAAGTTTGACCATTTCACTAATCTGCTTCTCTTGTAAATCCCCTGACTTTATGGAACTACTTTAAGTTTCTGGCTCTCGTGAGAAGCCAATGATTTTCTCACCTGACAGCGCAGAAGGTCAGACGGATGCATCCTTCCTCTCCAACCCTGTAAACACAAAACAAAACCAGACGGTAATACTTCAGGCATTAATTAAATCCTGAAAACAACAATAAGAATTCACAACACAGGCAGGAAATCAGTCATTTAGAGTCGCCATCATGTTTACAGTCGACCCAGGAGTGTGTGTATTCAGTCAGTTCGGGGGTTTAGCTGTGTTGTTTGCAGCTCCGGAGAGGACTCATGCTGTTTGTAAGGGAAGAGTGCGAGCAGAAGAAAGCTTTTCCCAGTGCTGTCAGTCCCGGTTTGAGTCTGGGCTGCAGCTTCCCTCCACACAGTCCATCATCCCGTCTAGTTCAAAGACCCTCTAGCTGCAGGTCTTTGTCAAAAGCCCGGTTGGATATCTTTTATGTTCAAGATGTAGGATTTCTTAGGATGACTTTGATTATTTATTTATTCCACTTCTCTTGTGTGATAGTGCCAATATTTTACACGAAAGTGCTCAGCTTGCTCTGAAATTCATGTTGCTTTATTGTAGCCCTTTTGCCTTTGAAATTTCTTTTTCTTTTTTTTGAAAGGCAAGCTCTTTTTTTGAAGTCTCCTCTCCCTCCCTCCCTTCCTCATCTCTTCTTCTTTGCTTTTCTGTTCTTGCAGCCCCCCACCACATCTTCCCCACCTTCCACACACCCATCCCGATTGACATGCGGCATCACGAGGGACGATACCACTACGAGCCTCACGCGCTGCACGCCATGCACGGGTAAGTGGCCCTTTTTTTTTTCTGTGTAAATATTTTCTGAAGGGACTTGAACACGTCACAAGTCGGATTCATGAGACGCAGGTTGAAGTTAAAGTCGTCAGATCTTTTCGACGCAAGTGGTTATTTCCTATCAAGTTACTACTGTACAGCACACAGCTTGTTTTGCCTTTTTTTTTTTTAACTCTGCGAGTGCATGTTAGGAGGCGCTGATGAGAGCTGAGCGCTCGCCAAGTTCAATATCAAAAGCAGATGACAACATGTCGACTTCCAAAGTGAATAATCAATGCTGGTTCTAAATTTCCCCTCTGCAGCCCTTGTTTCCGATACAGTTTGATTATGTGGGCAAGCTTTGCTCTTCTGGCTCCAGCCGTCTGGGGATGAAAACACTCTGATGCTTTGAGAAGTCTGAAGTTTGGTTACTGGGATCCAAACTGGGAACATCTCAGTGAGAGAAGTGAAAAATCTTCTCTCTGCCTCCGAGCAAGGCATTTTACAACCCAGAAAAGAAAAAAAAACTTCGTATTTTCTGCAAACTGGAGCAGATATGTTCTAACTTTATGTTTCAGCAACACTTTGGTTAACATGTGGTTATGGTTAGGAAAAGGTCATGTCAGTTTTAGAGGCACAGTTTCCCCTGGAAAGGCAGCAGTGTCTTGGTAAAAAATAAATGCTTTTTATTCCACTATTTCCATTGGAAAAACAGTGATAGGTTGCTATCAAACATTCATGTTCTGTGCCCAAAAAGCTGCTTAAACACTGACAGGTCACTGAAAAATCCCCATGTTTGAGGGCAAAAAAGCTGCTGGAAACACAGCGCCTGGTTGCTACAAAACCCTTATGTTTGGTGTATAAAAATCTGCTGTTAAAACAGCGAGGGGTCACTACAAAGAGGCTAAATAGCCACTGGAAAAACAGTGACAAGTCACTACAAAACTCCATTTGGAGGCTAAGTAGCCACTGGAAAAACAGTGACAAGTCACTACAAAACAGCCATATATGGTGCCTAAAAAGCTGCTGAAAACACAATGATTGGTCACTACAGAATCCCCACATTTGGTGTGAAAAAAGCCACCATTAAAACAGTGATGGGTCACTACAAAACTCCCACATTTGGACGCTAAATAGCCACTGGAAAAACAGTGACAAGTTGCTACAAAACTCCCATATTTGGAGGCTAAATAGCCACTGGAAAAACAGTGACAAGTTGCTACAAAACTCCCATATTTGGACGCTAAATAGCCACTGGAAAAACAGTGACAAGTTGCTACAAAACTCCCATATTTGGAGGCTAAATAGCCACTGGAAAAACAGTGACAAGTTGCTACAAAACTCCCATATTTGGAGGCTAAGTAGCCACTGGAAAAACAGTGACAAGTTGCTACAAAACTCCCATATTTGGACGCTAAATAGCCACTGGAAAAACAGTGACAAGTCACTACAAAACAGCCATATATGGTGCCTAAAAAGCTGCTCATAACACAATGACTGGTAACTACAGAATCCCCACATTTGGTGTGAAAAAAAGCACCGTTAAAAGCGGCTGATTGCTACAAAACACCCACATTTAGCACCTATAATGCCACTGGAAATAATAGTAACAGGTTGCTGCAGAACACTCATGTTTGGTTTCTACAAAGCAGTTGGAAACACAGTGATGTGTGGCTACAAAACCAACATGTTTGGTGTGTATAAAGCCATGTTAAAACAGCGTTGGGTCATTACAAAACACCCACATTTGATGCCTGAAAAGCCTCTGAAAACATAGTGATGTGTTGCTACAAACCACTCACGTTCAGTGCCTAAAACACAGCTGAGAAAAATAGTGACAGGTTGCTACAAAACACCTACATCTGAGGGATAATACTGCGCTGGAAAAACATCAATGACTAGTTAAAAATCAAATGGTTTCGTTGTTTGTTGGTCTGGAACAGTGCTCTGCAGCTTGTGCAAGTCAGCTCATACACTACGTCACTTTAGAAACGTAACATAGTTAGTTTACAGAAATGTGTAATGGCAAAAACAGCATTTCACCAGCTGGAACTTCTGGCTTAAAATATATGTGAACTGTGCACACGAGAATGAGATCAGTTGGAGGAAGTAGTCGGATCTTAGAGAAATAACTTATTGCGCTATTGAAAGTATCAGCTAATTCCTGACGGATGAAAATATGTGTAGTGAGTTAAATTTACCACAGTGTCATTTCTTAGGTCCTTAGTTTGTTAAATCTAAATGATCTTTCCTCCCTGATTTTACAAGTGTGACTGTTAATTAGACATTTATAAATGTGCATCAGATGGATTCATGGTTGGGTATTTGTCCGAGATTGTCCAATTTTGGAATTTTTTATATGCAAAGAAATTTGTAATAATTCAAGCTGTCAAATGTTGAACAAGTAGACGCATAAAATGGAAATACTCAGGTAGCCAAAAATTAAATGTACTCAGTTACCTTCCACTTTTCTTCCTGGATAATAAAAAGCTAAAAAAAGAAATAAATCTCTGCCAGTTGGCTCGTATCAATCTGCAGCCCGCTCCATTAGCGGCGATCGGCAGGGCCGGATCCATCACCAATGACATAACACAGCCAACCTGCGTCCAGCACCTCTTTATATTCATTAATGGCTTGTTGTGGAGCTAATCTGTGTGGTGCAGGCCGTGTTGCCCCCGAGCTAGCGCCATAATTAAACTCCCAGAGTATAGAGGTCACAGAACAGGCTGCATGTGCCGCAGCAGCAGCGCTGGTGGTGAGTCCGGCCTCGGTAAGAGATCCCATTTATTTTCCTGAGGGATGTTCAGGGGAGGAAGGAAACACAGTGCACAGCAGTGTACGGAATTCAACTTAACAGATTTGTTGTAAGGACCAGGAAGCATTAGTCTGCCGCAGCGGTGTTGGAGATCGTGTTTCTGGATTTTTGGTTCAGGATAAGATGAAAATCAAGAAGAGTGTGAAAACATATCTTGTTTAAAAGAGCGCTGCAGATGATGGAAAGGGTTCATCTCATCATGAGGTTGAATTTTGTAGCTTTGCCCAGATAATTGGGCCAAAGATATCAGCACAGAGAGTTTGATTTTGTTGTTTGCAGCTCAAATGAAAGAGTCATTCAGAAAGTGCATGACGGTGCGTTCATGTGCCAGGAGGAGGCTTCGAAATCAGAGCTGTGACACAGTGTCAGGTTGATTCCAAACGTCCAGGAGATCATTTGCCTGATTTTATGCATCAACGTTGCAGCAACTGGAGTGTGAGCGCCGACCGAAAACACCTCTGGGTCTGTGGCACACTTTGAAAGCGAGCAGCAAGGCTCCTGCCGCAGTTTAAAGTTACTTTATCACGGGAGAAAAAACTGGCGCCGGGACAAAAAAAGTCAATAGAATTCTCCAAATAGTACTCTTACATTTAGATTCACAGATTTGATGGTGATGCATACTTCGCGCCTGGCGGAAGCAGGGCTATTCATCACACCGGCTGGGAGAGTGGAGGGCGGGGGAGGGGAGGGGGGTGCTGTCCGCGGACTCGGCCACCTTGATTAATGTGATTTGATCTTGACAGTGGACCCCTAATTCATCAAGACCTTGATCTAGCTGTCGCTCCCCCCTGCCTGTGCCAAATTCACCTAATTACAGGAACATTGCGCAGCAAATTAAGTGCGGTGTCATTTGTCGCCTGGTGCGGCACTTTATTATCTGCTCGTGGCAGCGTGTCAGAGGTCCCCTCCTTGATTGTCTAACATGACATCTCTGCGCCGTCCCCTTTATCATTGTTTGCATATACCGTAATGAGAGGGCTGGTTATTTTGTCAAGCCTGTCATAAAAAGCTGCCATAGGGAAGCCTCTTTTTTCTTCCCACCGGATACCGAGGAGGGTTTTCTCCTCTCGCCGTCGCCAGCAAATGACAGTGAGGCGAGGAAGTTACAGGAGGAAGAACACGGGGGGAAAACACGTCCTCCTCTGTGACGGCGTCTCTGTGGACGGAGCGAGGCTGGAAACATGTAAGGAGCTGAGATCTGTTACAGTTGACAAAGCCTCACAGTTCAAAAAGACTTTTGTTCAGCACAGAGACCTTAATCCCACCTGCCTGCCCCGAGTGGACGCTCAGCACAGCTTCACAAACACAACAAGTCCACTTTAAACATGTTTAAAGGTCCAGTGTGTCAGATTTCAGGGGATACAACGGCAAAAATCAAATATAATAAGTATGTCTTCTCAAGTGTATAATCATACCAGCTCCTGTAGCAGCTCTGTATCTGCTCCTACAGCAGCTCCACTCCTCTCCTCACAGCTGATGTATAAAAAGAACTCTGCAGCTGTTGCTGTGTCTCGTGTGACAAAGAATGGATGAGGAGAGACTCGTTGGGGTCGAGAAATATTCCAAGCTAAACGACCCACAGCCCTGTCATTATAAAGACAAAGGCCACAAAGATACACACATGCCTGGCGAGTCACAGCTCTGGAGATCGGCTCTACGGGTGAGACATGAAGTTTAATTAGTGGCTGTCCACACATGCTAAGCTAACGCAGAGGTGGAGGAAGTGCAGATCTTTCAGTAAAAGTAGTAACAACTTTGTTTGGTCGTCTGTTGACAAACATCCAGAATGAACTGATTAGAATTTGCTGGTCATAGGTGAAGGTCACTATGACCTTGAGTTTATCTCATTCTCATGAACACAATATCTCAAAAAAGCCTCGAGGGAATTTCTTTACATTAGGCGCAAACATCCACTTTCAATCGAGAATGAACTGCGTAGATTTTGGTGGTCAAAGGTCACTGTGACCTTGCACCCTGTCATTTTCATGAATACAATATTAAAAAAAAGCCTTTAGAGAATATCTTCAAATTTGGTACAAACATCCACTTTCACTCAAGAATGAACAAATGAGGATTTGGTGGTCAAAGGTCACTCTGACCTCACAGCACATGTTTTTGGCCATAACTCAAGAATTCAGACACTAAGGGTTGGACACTGAGAGAACTCTGACCAGGAGAAGATTAAACTGGTTACAAT